CTCACTCTACCCAGAGAAGTTAAGGACCTGACCTCACTCCGCCTGTTTAAGATCCGTGCCGCCCCTTATTTACTACGACATACATTATCCACATGTCCTTTGCGTCTCTGTGTTTTTCACTGTTTTTATTTGACATAATCTTTCTTTACGGAGTTGTTGTTGCTGTTCATTTTGCTACTCTTTCTTTTTCCCTCCCCTTATTTCTATTTATCGCCGTGGTTGGCAATCACCCACTCTCGTAACATTGGCCGGTGTTTCCGCCGAGTCTTGAGATGTTGTAATAATAAGTAAATAAATAAAAAGAATTGACCGCCACTATTCAGCCTGGTCTACACCACACAGCTATGAAGTGGCTTTTTCTGGCCAGTGAATCCCTACTTTTGGTCTTTTTCATATTTTTTCCGCACACACATCACACCACATACTCCGGCATGCACTGGCTGTTGATAACCACCCAGGAGAATGAAAGGAAAGTCAGGTGGAGTCTGAGAAAGAGAAGAAAGACCTGGTCCTGGTCCTGGTAAACACTGCCATTACGGTCACGTGTCCCCTTACGGGGCCGACAATATAGAACGACGAGCGGGACCATGTTCAAGAGAACCATCTCCAGCAGCGATGGATCTGGCTTATCATCGGAAACGATTCCTCTCACCTCTGCCGCTAGAACTGTTCCATCACTCTCCACAACAGAGCAAACATTCCATGAGCCAACGCTCAGAGTCGTTCCAAGTCGTCGTCTTCGTGCGGTAGTTTGCTCCACTCGCGGGCTTGCAAAGCCTCGCGAAGGACTCCGAGGTGGGGGCGACGAGGAGAGTGTCGGCATCGTAACTATCCGACCAAGTCTCCTGTCGGTGAATACCCCACCTCAGGCACTGTTGGCCTGGACGGCTGGGGACACCCCAGGCCGTCCACAACGGCGAGAACAAGCACGGACGGAGGCCAGAAACAAGAGCCCGGAAAAGTACAACCGTCCTCCACCAGAGCAGAGAAGAAAGACACACACACACACACACACACACACACACACCCACACACATACACACACACCTTGAACCTTGAACGCCCATTGCCGTAGCAATGATAGCGATGGCTTCCTCACGCTGAGGCTCTAAACTCGAAATCTGCAGTATGGCGCATGCCGCTTGAGGTCACCAGGACGACGGAACACTCTGTCACAGCGGTAGTCTGGGGCTTCCTTCTCGACCCTCTGTCGACAACACTGAAACCAGGTGGATCTCTCCTGCGCTGTGTCATACCAGTCCGCTTCAGGTAAACCGATGACAGCAAAGTCCGAGGACACAACATCCCGCCAGCGCTTCTTGGGACCATGTTGCGGGCGTTTGCAGGGCAGTTCGCCGAACAGCATCTGCTTGGGCAGCCGGGTCTCCTTCATCCGTGCAACATGACCAAGCCACCGCAAGCGGTGCTTCCTGATCACATCGGCCATGTCGACGTCCACCCCTGCCAGCTCACTCAGCGATGCTGACGACAATCTCTCCTCCCATTGCTCACGACGAGAGATACCGAGAATTGTGCGAATACACTGATGGTGAAAGGTGTTGAGTCGGCGAATATGACCCGCTTTGATGGGCCATGTCTCCGCACCGTAGAGAAGAGCAGGAAGGACGATAGCACGATACACCAGCCGCTTGGTGTGGACCGAGAGATGTACGCACTGAAATATCGGAGACCTGAGCACGCAGAACAGCCGGGACGCCTGCGCCAAACGAGCAGCGAGGTCCGCATCCACCGTTCCGTCAGCAGAGAGCACGCTGCCAAGGTACCGGAACCCGTCCACCATGTCAATCCTGCTATCACCACCGAGTTGAACGGGATCAACTGATGTTGGTTGACCCACCGCCATGCCCTTCGTCTTCCTAATGCTGACGGTCAGTCCCCATCGCTGTGCACACAAAATGAACTCGGACGTCATGCACTCAAATCTCTCTCTGGTGGTCGCATACAACGCTGCATCATCGGCGAACTGGGAATCAGTCACCCTCGTCGCGGATAACCGGGACTTCGCCGTGCGGTCCCCAACCAGCTTGCGACCGTTTCTGAACAGCAGGTCAACTCCAGCGTCTGGACAACGTGCGCGCCAGTCCGCAACCACCACACTGAAATACAGGTTGAAGAGGGTGGGTGCTAGGGTACATCCTTGACGCAGCCCATTAGTCACAGAGATGTTGTCGGAAAGCTTACCGTTGACTCGCACCTTCGCAATCATACCCTCATGAAGACACACACACACATACACACACATTATACACACACACATAGACACACACATAGACACACACATACACACACACACACACGCACACACACACACGCACACACACACGCACACACACACATACACACACACACGCACACACATACACACCGGTCCTGTCCTGTAGTGTAGAGCTACTGCGGCAGGTGTAGCCGTCCAACCAGAGCGATTCAGGATCAAGAGTAGAACGACTTTATTATACCATCAACGGGGTTATATGGGACAGAAGTGTAATCCAAGGTGAACATGCAACACAGGTGTGATGTAACACAACGTAAGTGGGAACGTGTAGTAGGATGCACAGTGTGAGTGTGTGAATCTGTTACACCACCCCCCTCGTCAGCAAAGGTGAGCCGGGCTAAACACGAGTAGGTAAGCATTATAATACCAGTAAATCAATATTATTGGTTCGAAAATAATTGCTAACACAAGAGGCAATTCAAGGTATGGTAGGAAGTAATACTCAACGCAGGAAAGGCGGCTATTGACGACGCTTCGTTTTCAAGTAACTCTGCAGCGGAATAATTTCCTTGTTAGACTCGTCCAATAAATGTTCGATAGGCTCCCAGCTGTTCTCACTGTGGCCACGCCATTGAACTAGATACTCCATGCGGCCCCTCCGTTTCCGTTCATCGACGACCGCGTCTACAATATAACGCGTGTTGCCGTCCAGATCCGTTATTGGCGGCGGAGGCGGCTGTTGCCGTCCTGGTAAAGAGTTCTCCTCATACCGCCTCAGAGCTGACACATTAAACACCGGATGACAACGCATATTGGCAGGAAGTAGCAACCGGAAGGCATTGGCACCAACCTTCTCAGTTACAGGGAATGGACCATACCATTTGGAACGCAGCTTAGGGGACGGCTGATTCCGCGCCTCGGGAGTAATGAGGAAATCCCTATAGACCAGAACACGGTCACCAACCTTTATAGCACTGGGGGCACGAGTGTTGTCCGCATACAAGGCCTGCCGCGCCTGAGCCGCTACAATAGCATCCTTAGCAACGCGGAACGCATCCTGTTGCTCCTTCACCCAATCAGAGTGTCCGACTCCCATACGATCACCCAGCAAATCCGCTGGGGCTCGGGGGTGAAACCCAAAATTCAAATAAAATGGGGTATGCGATGTAGAGGAATGGTGGGCACTATTGATGAAGAACTCGCAAAGAGGCAATAGCTTATCCCAATTGTCATGCTTATGGTTAATGAATGCACGGAGGATGTCTTCAACCAGCCTATTCACCCTCTCCGTCAATCCATCTGTTTGGGGATGGTTTGCCGTGCTGAAACAAAGCTTGGTTCCCAGAAGTTGAAACACCTCCCTATAAAAGGCAGCAGTGAACCGAGGATCTCTATCTGAGACAATGGATGAACTCAAACCATGCAACCGAAAAACGTTAGCTATGTACAATTCAGCACTGCCCTTGGCATCAATGGATGTGGTAGTCGGTACCAAATGAACGCATTTAGTCAGGCGGTCCACAAATGTATAAATAGCATCATATCCAGCAGCTGTCCTAGGAAGACCCGTAATAAAATCCATGGCGATATCCTCCCACGGGCCTTTGGGTATTGGTAATGACTGCAGCAGGCCCGTGCGCAGCCTCCCCGGTTTAGTTCGCTGGGAAATATCGCAAGACTTCACGAAACGTTTGACATCGAGTCCCATTTTCGGCCAATAGAAAAATTTTGCCAAGCGTGAATACGTGCGGTCACGCCCTGGGTGACCTGCCGTAACACAGTCATGGTTCTCCTGTACCAATTTAAGTCGTAGGGTACACCTCGGTATGCATAAACGGTTGCTAGGAGACGCCTTCAAGTAGAGGAACCCGGGGTCGTTGTCGATGAAGTACTGACTGTGCACATTGTCACTGTCGGGGCGCTTCATTCGTTCCATAACTACACTCAGCTCAGGGTCCACGGCATAACTGTCCAGTATCATGTTGGCTATATCGTCATTGACCTCTAAGGTATATTCTATGGCGTTTAGTCGAGCTTCAGGCGGAACCACATGATCTTCGTCCCTTAAGTCCGGGCGGCGTGACAACGGATCCGCCACGTTCTCCTTGCCAGGTTTATGGTGAAAAGTGTAATCAAAGTCCGCAAGAAATTCAACCCAACGTGACTCCCTTTTCGTGAGATTTGATTTTGTCAGTAGGTAGACTGCTGCTCGGTTGTCTGTGAAAACGTCAAAGTGTTCAAACGAATAAATGTGCCACATCCGGAGGGCGGACACAACTGCTAACGTTTCTCGTTCCGACGCTGTGTAGTTCCGCTCCGCCGAGGAAAGCTTTCGACTGCCGTACGCCACTGGCAACCAACAACCAGGTTCCTCCTCCTGCGAGAGCACCCCCGCGATTGCAAAATCGCTAGCATCAGTTTCAACTCGGAAAGGTTTTGACACGTCTGGAAGTCTCAAAATAGGGGGATTTAGCAGTGCCCTTCGTAACTCCTCGAATGCTGCCTGGGCCTCACCAGTCCATGAGAACCTGGTGTATTTACCCGTTAGCTCCTCCAAGGGCTTGGAAATATATGAATAGTGTCTAATAAAGCGACGGAAGTAATTGGTAAACCCGAGAAATTGTCTCACGTCTTTCACCGTACCTGGGGTGGGCCAATCACGAACTGCAGCCAACTTCTCCGGATCAGGGCTAATCGAGGAACCGGTCAAACGGTGACCCAAGAATAGAATTTCTTCCACCGCAAACTCGCATTTCGGTAACTTTCAGAATAGTTGGTTAGCGCGGAGGGTAGTCAGAACGGTTCGAATGTGCTCAACGTGCTCTTCAAGGGTTTTGCTAAAAATCAGAATGTCATCCAGGAACACTACCACGAATTGGCGCAAGTACGGCTGCAGAATGGAGTTCATCAGTGATTGGAAGGTTGCCGGGGCATTAGTCAGACCAAACCCCATGACCCTGAACTGGTAGTGGCCAAACGGGGTGTTAATTGCCGTTTTCGGCACATCCTCCTGTTGTATCCTGATTTGGTTGTATCCTGCGCGAAGATCAAGTTTCGAGAAATATGCACTGCCCTGCACTGTGTCGAATAGGTCCTCAATGTTAGGGAGGCAGGCCTTATTCTTAATTGTTATTCTATTAAGTTCCCTCCAGTCACACACCATGCGAAGAGATCCATCTGATTTCTTCACAAAGAACACAGGAGCCCCATAGGGCGACTTACTCGGCTCTAAGAAGCCTCTCCGGAGCAGCTCCTCAATCTGCTTCTGGAGCTCGTCTAGCTCCGGCTTCGGAAGGCGGTATGCCGGTCGTGATGGTGGCGCTGTCCCTTCCGCCACCTTTATTTCAGGGTCGACCGTTCGCTCTGGCGGTAGTTGGTCAGGGAGCTCGTCCGGAAATAGGTCGTCGAACTCACGTAGCAGAGCGTTCAGCTCACTTCCGAAGTGAGTTCCTTCCTTGTCACGGATAGGTGGTGGATCTTGGCCCGGCGCATCATCCTCCATAGAGACCCAGGCTATATACGCTTCGTCCCCTGAACGAATAGCGGCATTCGCTTGTGCTGCAGAGATGAAGTGGGATTCTGCGAACTCGGCGTCCTCGCCAGCTTCGTGGCCTCGAGCCACGAAGGTGTCCTCCTGGATCTGCACCTTTTTACTCCGGAAGTCGATCGTTGGGTTGTGGCGAGACAGCCACGGCATTCCCAAGATGGCGTCGTAGCGCGCCAGTGGCAGCACGGTGAAGATCTGGGTTTCGCTGAAGTCAGCTACCACCACTTTTACTGGCCCGGCAGTTTCCAAAGGCTGTGTACGAGACGAGCCATCTGCTAATGTGACCTTCAGCTCCTTGGTCGCCGTGTCAGTCTTCAGGTTATGTCTCCTGACGAACTCCGACGACAAAAAATCGTGGGGAGAGCCAGGGTCTATTAGCATGGTAGCCTTCCTCCCATTCACCTTCCCAGTGACACATAGCAGATCGTGCTCTGCGCCCATCGCCACGCTGCTGATGTGCGCCTTAGGCGTAGCGTCAGAACTCTCCACTGCAGGATCGCTTGCGCTGTCTCCTTCCTCGACACTCAGGCCCTCGAACCTATTGAACACAATGAGTGGTGTGGGTGCCTGAGTATCCACCGCCAGTGAGCGCACTCCCTTCTTCACTGGCTGGAAGCGTTTGGGGAATTCACGATGACTGGACAGTTTCTGGCAATATGTCCAGGCTTCCTGCATGAGTAACATATGGGCTCACTCGTACGGTTAGATTGCTGCTTCTGACGTCCCCATGGACTGACAGGTTGCCTCGGTGTACTGGCCTGAGCGTGAGGTGCCGGACCTGGGTGCCTCGACCGACGAATGCCTGTGCCTGTGGTGGCCTGTTCCCTCCATACTCCTAATGCCTGCATGGCTGCCATGCGTGCGGCACGAATGGCCTGGCCTAGTGTTGTCGGGTGCTCCCGAAGAGCCGAGTGACCGATTGCTGCATGCAGGCCCCTCACGAACAGCACCGCCTTCGAATGGTCATTCAGGTCGTTCACCTGAAGGCAGAGGTTAGTGAATTCCTGTACGTATGCGTCCAGGCTGCCGCGCTGTACCAGTCCAAACAGCTTGAGGCGCGCTTCCTCCTGTTCATGAACTGGGCCATACACGTCGCCGAGTGACTGTTTTAGCGTCGGCCAGTCGTGGATGCAGGCGCCGGAATCCAATACCGACATCAGCCAAAGCCTGGCGTTGCCTTGTAGGTAGCTGGCAGCGAATCGCACCTGCTCCTGGTCGTCGTTGATGCGCTGTGACACCATGGCGAGCTCGATAGCGAAGACCCACTCCCTGAAGTCCGCAGGGTTGCCCGAAAACACCGGAGGCCTATTGACTGTCCCATCAAATTTCCTGTCGAGCAGTCGTTGGTCCGTGGGCCGTTGAGGTCCTTGAGGTGTATCCGTAGTTGCGGCAGTTTGTACCCGTCGGCGCGCTCCGTCCTTGTAGCGATCATACCGAGCTAACAGAAGGTAGGCCACGCATACCAGCAAACAAAAAATCTCGACAACCATCCTTTGCTACCAGTGTAACCATCCAACCAGAGCGATTCAGGATCAAGAGTAGAATGACTTTATTATACCATCAACGGGGTTATATGGGACAGAAGTGTAATCCAAGGTGAACATGCAACACAGGTGTGATGCAACACAACGTAAGTGGGAACGTGTAGTAGGATGCACAGTGTGAGTGTGTGAATCTGTTACAGTAGGCGTTGAGTTTGAAGTGATTTGTTTACAGTATGTTGTCGAGTCGACAAGGTGCTTCTTGCAGAGTGTATTCATGTCTTCCGTCTTCATCATCACCATCTCACCTCCTTCATCACTTCGGGTGACCACGATATCTTCACTCTCTCGTAATAACTTTAGCACGTGGAGGTTTGCTTGGAAGATGTTGTATTTAGGGTTCTGTCATATCCCTGCCGTTCTCATAGTGCGTTCCATGTGCCTTAGGAAACCTCTGATGAAAAGCTCGGCTGGGTCCATGTCACGTGGTGCTGCTTTTCTCTTTATTAAAAAAACCCAGACAATCTGATTTGACAGTATCGAAAGTTCCACCAAATTCCGGCCACAGGAAGCAGTGTCCTGAGATCCAACGCGAAAACAGCAAAACAATTGTGTAGATTGTCACTGAGGGAAAGTACCGGGCTGTTGTGTGGTAACTATTATATTGCTAAAGTAATACCAGTTATCTACCCAGCACCCCACCACTACTATGGTGAGTGAAATGAGATGCAGGGATGCAACACAATGAACAATGGATGCATGACAGAGCTCCATATGTTTGGACTGAAGACTAGAATCTGTTAATGCTCGAAACAGGTAAGCCGTAAAGGAATATATTATCATGTCATGAAAGGATGGCATCTGTAGCTGGACTTGTGATTCCGGAAAAATGTCGCTGGAATGCATCTGAGTTTTTCCACCGCCCACGGCGCTGGACCAGGCTGAGCTCGACGGAACTTGCAATTGCCTTTCGTGCTCCGGTAGGGTGGAGTGATCGAGCAGAGATTCCTTGTTGCTGGCCGGAGTGTTTGAGCATCTGTGACAACAACTGTGCGGTTGAAGCTGACACCAATCCTCTATAAGGCTGTCTGAGTGTGATGAACACGGGGTGGTTGTCTACCGTTTTTCCCATGCAGCCGCAGTTTTGTTCATGTACTGTCACTATGTGGCAACGGGGCGTAGTTCTGCATCTGTGACATGCTAGATCACCACTGCATTGCTTGACATACCCTTGTCCGCTTTGGAGCCGAAGAAGAATATTTCCAAGCCAGCCTCGACCCATGCGATGCCGCCTAACCTGAGTCGAGCTCAAGCATATTTGCTAGTTTCTGTGTCGTTATCGCTGGTGTCGAGATAGATGGTGGTACTGGGACTAATGCTACATCTGATGGCCGGCACAGGGCTGAGAGGCAAAGCAGTGTCAAAGCCTTTGTGCATAGCTCTTTTTAACAGGCAATTCCACTGATAGGCCAAGGTCACGAATGTAGGTCAGAATATTTTCGACGTCAGCGCTCGGCGTTGTCTGGAGGGTCTTGGATGTAGGAGATGTCACGTGACCTGTGTGGACACATAGAGTGTAGAGTACTGTGATATCTGGTATTGGACTAACCCGTATGTCAGCCAGGAACGTAACGGTGACACGCACTAGTCGAAGTGTTAGTTCTGGTCGAGAAGATGATCTGGTTACGAATTCGAGGAAGCTGCTTACGACGTCCAAGATCAGGCAAACTTTATCACCACAGAAACTGATCAGGTCCACTGCAATTCTGTGATACCGAGCCAAGTACGATAAGTGCACACATCATACGTAAATATACGTCGTTAGCGGTGAACGGGTTAAGAAATTGTTTGGAATGCTCTCCGCTGCCTGTTGTCTACACAGACCTTGCATGCTGCCATAGCCCACTTCTTGTTGTGGAGAAGCTCTGACTGGCGGAACGATGCTAGAGCCGGGCTCGAAAAGATTCAAGAAGATTCGTGTTTATCAGCGATGGTTCCATCGCCATGCCTACGAATTCTTGGTACCAGGGCTGTGCTTGCCAGACGGGGGCAATAACTGTTTCTGTTACCCCCTGTTTGGGGTGGAAATGGAGGATTGACATAGCTGGGGGTTCCCGTCCAGTCTTGCTGGAGTGTATCTACTGCTTTCCGTCTCCTCGTCCAACTACCGTGAGTTGTATGAAGGTAACTGTGTGATCTGACAGTTGGTAAAGCGATCCACATCGTCTGGTCACAGTTCTCTGTGTATTGTCTGGAAGATACCGCGGTTCAGTGACCAGTCGCTGGGGACTCCTATGCGCCTGAGGCGATCCCTTCGTGATTGTCTGCAGCTGGGATGTGCTTTGCCAGGAGGGTTGTCTTGAGCCACGACGTCATGACATTGATTGGACGAGTTACGGCCATCATATCTTCCTAGCGTTCCCCCAGGTTGTTTAGCTGGTAGACTGAAGTTACACTGTATGATCTGATCATCACCATCTTGTCCTTGATTAGCGCTGGGTTGGCTTGTTCTATGGCCTTCAGCGATAACAATACTGCCGTTATCTATTTCTCCGTGATATGCATGGCATGTGGGTTCGGCCAGAAGCTTCTCGCCGACATGCCGTGCTACAACCTCATGCCCCATCCGTAGTCCGAGGCATCCGTTATCATCGTTACATTTGGGCAAGGTGTTGTCACGTACCGCGTTTGTAGGCTGTGTAGGCTTCGAGCCTTTGCCACGTATCCGTATAATGCCCGTAGCATGAGTCTTGCTGGCGTAACAGCCTTCGTCACTGCAGTTATTCGTCCAGCAACTTGTGCAACGACTCGTGCATGGACTGATCTCTCGTGTGAATCCCTCAGGAGGTGGTTTTTTGTCCTGTGGATCGTGCGCAGTTTGTCTGACGACACTAGGACCAGCACATGGCGTGATGACGTGTCCCACGTATCCCCAGTTACACCACACTCTGAGATGGATGAAGTGAAGACTTCTCCTTGTCAATCTGGAATTGGAGTTGGCGAAACAGCGCCGTCACTTGCTCTGTTAGCAAGGTGCACTCCAGGAGATAAGCCGTGATAAGGAACCAATCGTCTACGCAGGACGTTACTCTGGCACCCAGTGATAATCTTATGTGCCTCATTACTTCCCGCATGGTTTTCATGACCTGCCCACGGTCTGGTTGATAGTCCGAATGCAAGGACGCGATAATGGTAATAGCTACTGTTCCACTGGAACCCAACGTATGGCCGACACTCTGTGTGCATCGACACGCGCAAGACACCGTTTTGCAGGTCCAGCTAGCTACACCAGTCTCCTGGTTATGATCTCCTGCAGTGCGTCCAGGTTTCTCGTACCTGAAGCGTGATGCAACTACACACCGGTTCAGGCGCGTAAGGTTCAAAATAATACTTAGTTTTCCATAAATATTTTCTTTGGCAGCGTTTCTTTTGGAGAGGTGCAATATTTTGGTGTTTGTGTCTTCTCAATTGCTCCCTGTAGGAGTAATTCTTGTATATGAGCTGTGATGAACTCTTTGCTCTCCTTCGTCATTGGCCTGTTACCTTCGTGGAACTCTGGCTGGGACTGTTTGAATGTTATTGGAAAACTATTGCTCAACCAGTCCAGGATAATTGCCCAAGCACCGATCCTTGCCCATTCCGTTGTGTCTACGATGATCATACCTACCCGTAACGCTGTGTACCGCGGTCTCTACCTCTTCCTCTGTGTTATCGATTGTAACTCCCACCGCTAGTGGCCTTTTGTCTCCTGTTGGGAGCGGAACCAGCTTGCGCACTTGCGTGGAGAATGTCGCCGGATATGGCGATGAGGCGCCTATCCTCGTCGGTGAATAGATAGGTCGCGCGCAGGTGCTGCACAAGTCATCTCTGCTCTGCGGGCAAGCAGTCTGAAAGTGCAAGATCTGTTCGTACGTCCTGTAGTTCCGTAAGCCCAATCGTCTGGGTGCGCGAGCGTAAATCCTCTTCTCTGACGGTCGTGCTGACAAAGCTCGATGACGGTTTTGCTGTATTTGGCGAACTCGGAATGCTGTCGAGCTGGAGCTGCACTGCCTCGTTGCCGTCCTGCTGCTGAATTAGGAAACCCAAGTTGCTGTGGCAAAATGACGTCCTCGGGTCTCTCTTTGTATGTGTCCAGAGACAATGGGAAGGGACCGTTGGTCTGCGACTGTCTCAGTGAGCTGTTCACTAGATATGGCGAGGACAACACGGGGAAGGCCACGTTCGTCGTGACGGTTCAAGGATGAACTGCCGTTGTACCGAGTCGTCGTCGTGCAACCTCCATAGATTTTGCTTCGCGTTGGGCAAGATCGGAACGTGAACCGGAGCGGCCAACAATTGAATTGGCATGTTGCTTGCATGCTAGGATAGAGTCTTGTGGATAGTCGTTGTCTTGTCATAATGTCTACATTGTCTTTTCTCCCATCTCTTTCCCAATGCTGGTTGTTTTTTGATTGATTGATTTCTATTTCACGGATCCTCCAGAGGCAAATAGATGCCTATCGAAGGGAGTCTCCTAAGTAAGTATGGAAAATGAGAAAGTATGTTTGTAAGGGACAAGAGGTAGAAGATACATTTGTTGTGTTGGTGTTGCGCCTCGGAACTACTCCAGGGTAACGGACCGCTTCACCCCAACGTCAACGATGATCCATACTATACGTGGACGCCACATCGTTCTCTGTGTCTCTCTCTCTCTCTCTCTCCCTCCCTCTCCCTCTCCCTCCCTCTCTGTCTCTTTCTCCGTTTCCCTCTTTCTCTCTGTCTCTCTGTTTCTCTCTGTCTCTGTCTCTCTCTCTTTCTCCCTCTCTCTCTGTCTCTCTCTGTCTCTCTCTCTCTCTCTCTCTCTGTCCCTCTGTTTCTCTCTCTGTCTCTCTGTCTGTCTTAGTGATGAGAAATGACTGCGGTACAGCATAGCGTTCTGGGAATGAATGAATGTAGTGTTGTTATCACTAGACATTATGGTTTGTATGCAAGTACGTATAGAACAGTGGTGTTGATGCCAGCCTGCAACACTACGCGTGACAAGATGATCCAACGAGATGTCAGAGATTGCCAGAGCAGCAGTGTCAACTGTCATGTGCAAACAAGATGCCTAAGCTGCGAGCAAACGTACTAGTGGGTAGTAGTTTATTCATGTAATAAATATTACGTCATGTGTATATCAGATATGTAGAGTGTGAGAAATGTAGGTCAGGATGTATTGAACATTGCGGTACTCCATACATAACGGACAGAGGGT